ACACACACTCACACACACAAACACACACACACACACAAACACACACACACAGAGTGCTCAGCTTACTCTGCCCTCACTTAATCCCTACAGGCAGCTTCATTCTGAGCCAGGTAGAGATCTTTAAGTCCTATGCTTCTGAAGACAGAAAGAAAACAAACTACTGATCCAGACTCAAGGCCAAAGGCATTCCAGCTAGTGGCAAAGTCACAGCAATGATGTCCAGGAGAGCTGTGGAGTGAAAGCTTCAGAGTGTTCAGCCACCTGGGCATGTCTGGGATGTATCTGGCTTAGGACTGAAAGCCCCACTTAACCTATGTCTGGTCTCGGCCAGCAGGGAGGGTAATCTTGAACTTTAAAATTTACCCATGTTTACACCTGCTCACCTTTCCAAGAAAACTTTCTGGCTATCCGTCAGAAACAGCATTCTGGATGCAGTCTCCCCTAGTCTCCCGAGTCTGACCCAAAGGGACTCAGTTCCCACCAGCAACTACCAGTCAGTTCTCAGAGCCATGTTCAGCCCAGAGACGGATGGGCTGGAGGAGGGGAGGTGCAGGGAGCCTGTTAATCAGCAGACAGGCCACACGACGCCCTGCATCCATCTGACTCGACAGCTTAATCTGATGCTAACACAATGGTGACAGAAACAAATTTTTTTCTGCACAATAAAGAATAGTACACCTGGGTCTTCTTGGGATAGCTGGCTAAATTCAGTAACTTTTGGAAATATATCATTTCTTTTCTTTGCCCATTATTCTAGAAACTTCCCCCTGAGTGCTAAAAGCCTTACTAACAAGAACAGTGGCATGCCCAACCCTACCGCCACTGTGCTAAGGACGTGACATGCTTGCTCATTTGATCGCCTGTCATCTGACACAGGCACAGGAGTCATGGCTGGCATTATCTTAACTAGATGACAACCTAGGAACACTGAGACTCTCAATCTCTGCTTCTGAGACCTTCCATGAGCTCTGTGTCTACCATATACAGGGCAAGGCCTGTAAAAGCTGTCTGTTCCAACTCCCACGCACCACTCTGACCACACTATGTGTCCACATGGTATGCCTACCATACTATCAGCCAAGACTCCTCCAATGTCGTTCCTGCCCCCAGGAACCTCTCCCCAGATCTCCCTACGGCCACCTACCTATCATCCTTAAGTCTCTACTCAGAAGCCATCTGTGCAGAAGGGCTGCTTCAAACTGTGCCAGTTTCGATATGAAGTGTCTCCATAATATTCCTGTGGTTCTAATCACTGGGACATGACTGGATCCTAAGGGCTCTGACCTAATCAATGGAGATTCATCCACTGATGGGTTTGTAATATGACAGTACTAGAAAGAAGAGCCTCATTGGACGGTCACTGGGGGCATACCCTGGAAAGACATTGTGACCTTGACTCTGTCCTTTTTCTCCTTCCCTCATTTCCCTCTGTCTCTGCTTCCTGGTGGCCATGATTCTCTAACTCTGTTGCAGGCCCAGAAACAATGAGGTCGCTCATGGTGGTCGGAGGCCTCTGAAAACATGAGTCAAAATGAACTATTCCCATAAGCCATTCTCTTCGGCACTGGCCACAGGGATAAAGATCTAACTTACACAAATATATCCCAATTATCTTCTGTCCTCCAGATACCCTCACCAGCACACAGAACGCAAATACTTCTCACCTACTCAGTCACATGAACTCAGAGACCTTCAAGAGCACTGCTCTCAAAGACAAGGTTGGCATAAGCCTTCTAAGTCTTCTTTCAAAAATTCATGGACTTGAACATTTCCACTATGCAGTACGGCAGGGCAGGGCCCAGCTTTGAACTGTGGGGGGTCAATGGAACCAATAAGTGCATTTCTCTCAGGAATGGGCCAATTATCACAGGACGCAACCTCCTGCCTGCCCTTCTGCTCTTCAACATGCATTGAAGCAACACAAGGCCTTACCCGATGCAACCCTGACCTCCGTCCCAACACCATCTTGGGTATTCTGTTACAGCACTGGGAAACAGGCCTCTGACCCCACTATCCCTTGTAGAGGATCTTCCTACCCTGGGAACCACCAGAGGAGCCCCACAGGACTCTACCACCCAGGGAGACCTTTCCATGGTCTTTATGTAAGCAAGCCAAGCACACAGGCTCTATTTTTAATTTGCATTCTGATGTGACTGTACACCCAAAACTTGACAGTGTGATTTTAAGGGTGCCATGACTGCCTTCAGGAAGTACAGGTTGCCCCCCACAGAGCTCAGGCTGGGGGTGGAGGTGCCTGTTAATGAGCCGCCTTCCTCCCCACTGACATGTCTGCCTGAATGAGCAGTTAAAATAAGGCAATCTCCCCGCCTCAGAGCCCAATGCTTCTTTAAAATCCACGTTAAACATAAGTACACACACCAAATATTTCCTTCTTCTAGAATAAGAAGAATGACCCTGGCTAGATGGTTCTTGCCTGTAACCCCACCCCTTGGAAGGTGCAGGCAGGAGGATCAGGAGTTCAAGGTGAGTTTCAGGCCAACCTGTGCTACATGAGACCTGTCTTAAAAATAAAAACAAAATAAAAGAACAAAAAGAACAAAGGAAAATGACCCTACACCACGTAGTTGTCTTTTCCAACCAGTTTCTCCTCTCACATGAACCTCCCAATCAGCTGACATAACTGTTCCCATGGTCTCCACAGGCACCACCCCTCACTGCCAGACCTCACATGACATCCACAGGCACCAGCCCTTCATTGACAGACCTCACATGAACTCCACAGGCACCTCCCCCTCACTACCAGATCCCAGTGCTGAACTTCCTTTTCTTCCCAACTGAATGACAAGCAGGCAAGTGATCTTCAAGGAATCAGAGTCATGACTAGATAACCCCACACCCCTCAGCATGGGACAGGCCCTCCTGGAGTTGCCCTGCACACTGTGCTAGCCATCCTTGTTAGCTACCCCCATACTCTTCTCAAACTGAACTTCCTGCTGACAGGTCCCCAAATGCACCCCACAGCGCATGTTTCAAGGCCCTTGCACCGCTACATCCCACCTATAGGAAACCTCACAAGCTGCCCCAGACACATTTTAAGAAGAATTGTGCACGGGTCCCTGTCCAGCAGAGATGTGTTAAGGTGGGTGGGCAGGCCACGGACAGCACTTGGATGTTCCCTTACAGCTCCAGTGCATTTGCCCTCAACTCACCAGGGGGTATGAGGCAGAGATGGACCACAAAGAGCAAAGAAAGAGCCATTGTATCTGCACTGCACTCAGCCCCAGCTAAAGTTCTGCACATTCCTCATGGGGTCCCGAGAACCATCATGTAGGAACAGATTCAGACATACTCTTTTCTTCGCTGCCAAGAACACTGGCCAGAAAGCCTTCACTGAATATACAAGCAAGTGCTTGCAGATGCCCTGTTCTGCCCCACAAAGGCCTTCCAGCACCTTCTCAGCCTAACCATTGTAAAGAAAGCATGTCATGATGGTGAGAAGCCTGTCCTTGATTAGCTAACAGATCTGGACTATATAATTCTATTTTATGCCCAGTGTACCTCTGAAACCCTGATTCCTCATGGAAGGCAGGCAGGCAGGCAGGCCACTCACTACTCACTCATCCCTTCAGCTAATCCTGAGGATTTGATAAGATGATCTAAGGTAGAGCATGGTCAACCTTTAGCAGGAAAGCCATGCAATAGCTCAATACAATGTCACGTCACAATGTCAAAAGGTTGGGCACCCTGGCTAAATAAAGCAACATAGTATGCCTTCCACACTCCATGAAGACATGAGCCACACAAGAGTGAAAAGCCAAATAAGACCCATTCCTTCCCTACCTCTAATTTCTGCTGAACTCTGATATATTTGATATATTTACTTTTCTGTTATCCAAATACCTGACAGGATGCAAGTTAAAAAGGGCAAAGTTCATCCCGGCTTACAGTTCTAGGGAATACAGTGATGTATGGTGGGGAAGACACGGTAGTTGGAGCAGGAGGCGGCTGAATCCACACCGCATCCACAGTAAAGAGATAGAGTAATGAGGGCTGGTTCTCAATTGACTTTCTCCTTTTTACTCATTGGGACTGCAGCCCATGGGATGATGTTACCCACCTTTAAGGTAGGTCTTCCCATCTCAACCCAATCCAAAAATTCCATGCCCAGAGATTGGTTCCCATGGTGATTCTAAATTCCATGAAGTTGATGATCAAGATTAAGTATCACATACCAGGTATGGTGGCACACACCTTTAATCCCAGTATTCAGGACACAGAGGCAGGAGGATCTCTGTGAGCTGAAAGCCAGCCTGATCTATATAAGGAATTCTAGGCCATCCATCACTGACTTAAAAAAAATCACACACGGGTTTTGAGACAAGATTTCATGTAGCCCAGGCTCCCTTTGAACACACTATATAGCCAAGGATGGACCTGAACTCCTGTTCTTGCCTCTATCTCCTAAAGCACTGGGGTTTCAAGCATGCATAAGCAAGCCCTGCTTCAGATCACTGATTTTTGACAAAATTTATCCCGAAGATCTTGGTTACCTCCTGACATTATGGTATGAGCAGTCACATGAGGGAAAAGGCTGGACAAGCTAGTGTCACCCCTGGCTCCCAACCAGGGCCATCATGTGGGATCCTGTGTCTGGTTCTTTGGGATTTCCTTTCAACTTAACAGACGAGAGACATCAAGGTGGGGCTGGCTGGCACCACAGAACCTGGCCTCCCGAGCAGATGGATCATGAGGCCCAGCACCTTGAGAATGCTCAATTACAAAACTCACAACAGGCAGCAGAGCAAATCAACTCCACAGATGAAAGCTCTGAAACCTGGCACCTCGACATGAGGAGCCACACCCAGCCCCAGACGAGCTGGCCTCTCAGACATGATAAAGAGGGGCTTCTGCAGCCTCCAGTCCTATGCCACCAAGCACAGCTTTGTGACTGTCAACCAATGATATCCCAAAGCAACTATGATCACGACTCACAGCTCACAAGAGCCTGGCCTCCAGGATCCCTCAAGATGTCACCTTTATCATACCACACAGCTGCCATCAGACCAAGCCTTGGAAGAAGAAGTCACCTCTCTCAAAGTAGTGGCAGCCATCTTGTCTCCAGGGATTTTGCAGGTGAGCACTGGGCTACTAACCTAGATGGGGACTTGGGGGAGGTGAGTCTGTGATACAGGTTCTAGTTGATGTCAAGAAAACAAAGATGCTCTTGAAGGAAACAAGTGTACTGACTAGGCTGCTGGGAAACTAGGATGTGGACTGGACCAAAGGGCAGGGTACATGCTGGCTGGCTGACCTGGAAGAAAATAAGGATGTTAAGTAAGGCTGTGGTTTCCAGACAAGGTTTCTCTGTAACTTTGGAGGCTGTCCTGGAACTTGCTCTGTAGACCAGGCTGGACTCAAACTCACAAAGATCCGCCTGCCTCTGCCTCCTGAGTACTGGGATTAAAGGCGTGCGCCACCATCACCTGGCATCCACACTGTGCTTTTTATTCACAAAACAAGCATTCATTTGTTATTGCATGTGCTTCCTACCCAGGTAGGCAGAGCCTGTCAATCACTCTCACCCAGCAGACAAGGAGGCACCTGGGGTGGGGTGCTTAAGAGCTGCCCATTTCACCCAGCAAGTATCTGATTCCCAATATCACGTCGTTGCTCTCTTCACATATGGTTCTAGCACTTGCTATACAAAACCCCCTTTCCACCCCACACAAAAACATTTGGGTTTGTATTTGAAAGTTGGCCCTCACCTGAGAGAAAATGCTTCGACCCAAGGGAAGAAAAGGAAGACAACCTATTCAGACGAGCACTGAGGAAGGAGACAGCAAGTCACACCTGCCCGTGCTTCACGCTTGTACACAAAGCTAATACCAGAGTCCTGGAAACATCTGCATCTGCTGCCAGAACCATAAAACCAAAAGTTATAAGGCGATGATAACATGCTGGATTTGCAAGTTGAAGAGTCATGTGTCTCTAAAGAGTAGAAAACATACCCAGACCCGTGAGCCTGAACAACGTATGCCAAGCACAAATGGATCTAGCTGGAAGCGGGCTTTAGAGCTGGTCTGAGTTGCAACATTCTCTTTCCTGTCTTACCCTAAAGATGAACTCAAGAGCTCAAGCATGAGGGCAACCAGAGCCCACAAGCTGAAGATCCGTAGGCTTCAATCCTATATTCCTGCCACGGGGCCCTCCTACCTTGGGAACCAGAGCTCTCAGGAGAATACCCTCTCATGGAGAGCAGTGGGTTACCACATCTGATCTTGCTGGAGCCCATGTAAAGCAGATCTGGCCAGCCATACTAACATTAGACCAACCCAAAGGTGACATTCCTGGCTTCCCACCTTGTGTCTGGGTTCCAATTCAGCTAAGTTTACAAATGGGAAATAACTGTTCTTTATTATCCCATATCTACATCTAACTAACATCTCCAAGTCTAAAGTCCCAGCTCTTCCTCTGTTCTGAGAGCCATTCTCTCTCCTCACCCACCAATGCTCTGAAATCCAGTTTTGGGGTCTGTCAATAGACTAAGAGTGCTCTGAACTACTATCCATGTGACTCGATTTGTCAGTAAAAACTGCCACCAGCGCTACGCTTGCAGAAAAATGTCCATAAATGCATTATTGCAACTGGCAGATCAATGTCTATAATAAAAACAAATAGATTTAACAAGTGCCTGCTTTTATGAGCAATACCATTGGTGGACTGTGCATTTGGTGTCACCTTCTGACTTCTGGGAATGGGCCCCAGAGCTGGGCTGGAAACAGAGCTGATTTCACAAGTGTTATGGGTAGGAAAGTATTCTAACAAGAAAATTTTAGTAGCAGAGTGGACACACTGGGCATTTATCGCTCTTTCACTGTTCCTTTTGTGGTTATACATAACAACAAATAAAAGCTTTAAGATGTTTCTGTAGAATTTGTTAACTGGTCTTACTCGTTATGTTGCAGGCCAAAATGAGTTCACTCCAGCTGGGAGTGCAGAAAACAAGTTTTAACCATCAACAAGTCACCACTGTGTCTGTAGCCTCTGGAGATAGCCTGTCTATTTGGCCATTTCACTGGAGCAGACTCTGGAGCAAGGTGCAGGAGGCTGGCCTAACCCAGGGATGCTTGGCATCTTGGTAGACCCAGCCAGTGTCCTCACATAGAAACCTGCCAAGGCACTGATTCCTTCAAGGTCACCAAAAGATTTTGTTCCCTTCTTAAGACAAATCACTTTAACAGCTACAGGAAGGGGTAAGTCACTCATCATGCTGCTCATTTTCATTATGTGGATGGCATGTGAGTCTGTGGCATGGTGCACTGTGCTATTGGGTGAGGCAAATCAGAGGGTCAGTTAGGTGATGCCCTTTTTTTATTTCAGTATTTTCAGCTTACTCAGGGGAGGGAGTAGCCATATCCCAAGAAGAGGAGCATGTGTGTAGTCCAGTGATAAGGAGAAATAAGAAATTAGACAAGTTACACTCCTATTGCTGCCTATCAAAACCAGACTGAATACCTAAGAAAGGCATTGCCAAGGAACTGGTCTTTATGGTTTGACCACTGAGCACTAAATGTACCCTGTAAATTAAGAACAATTTTGACAACTTAATTGGGTTGTTTGGTTGGTTGGCTGGTTGTGTTCTGGAGACAGAGTTTCACCCTGGCTCAAAGTAGCCTGCAACAACTATGTAACCCAAACTGGCCTTTAATGCCTGGCAGTCCTCCTGACTCAGCCTCTCGAGTAGTAACATTAGAAGCCTGAGCCACCAAACTCAGCTTGCATGTATTAACAAGTGTTGTGAAGGCTACAGTACATTGATCTCCTGGGAAAGAAGGAAGGGAAGCAATTCTGGTGTCCCTACTGCCTGTGTCCTTGCATTAGGAAAAAGGGGGGCCTTGACTGACTGTACTGGGCAGTATTTTTGTTACTTGACAAAAGCTCAGGTCATCTAGGAAGCTGGAACCTCAAATGAGAAAATGCTTCAATGAGACTGGCCTGTGGGCATGTCTCTGCTGATGACTCGTGTGGAAGGGCCCAGTCCACTATGGGTGCCCTGGGCAGGTGGTCCTGGGGTATATAAAAAAGCAGGCTGAGATGCAGTGATATCTTGCTTGTACAAATAAAGCCCATGCTGGGGGGCAGGTCAGAGAATGGAGCTTGCTACTAGCTAACCATAGAAGTCTGGAGGTTTGTACAGACAGACAGGAAGGGAGAAACAAGAAATAGATCTCTTGTCTGCAGAGCCGCTAAGGAGGTAAGGTGAGCTGTAGCTTGCTTCTTCTCTCTGATCTCTCAGCGTTTCCCTCTATATCTGACTCTGGCTTTTATTATCTAGACCAATTAAGAACCCCATTTACAGAAAGTCATGGAAAGCAAGCCAGTGAATGATGAGCCTCCACGGTCTTTGTTTCAGTTCCTGCCTCCAGGTCCCTGGCCTTCTTGCGTTCCTGTCCTGCCCTCCCTTCATGGCAGACTGTCATCAGGACACATAAGCCAAATAAACCTCTCTCTCACCAAGCTGCTTTACCATGGTGTTTTCTTGCACAGCAACAGAAAACTAAGACAATGGCATGCCTGTGAAGGCAGCCCAGTGAGGGAAGTGAGTAGAGACAGGCCCAGATGAGGCCTACTGAGCTAGAACGGGACCCTGAGACCAGTGCCTTTCACTTTCCACGGAAAGGCTGCAGTCTAAGACAGTGCCTGACCAGTGCACCCGGGGCTCTGGCTCTGCTTCTTAAACCTTTCATAACTAACAGAGACCTCTTCAAAACCAGGCCACACATTTGAATTTTTTTAAAACAGTCAAAAAGAATATTCCCATAGCAAAGTACCTTTAGCATAGCAGAGTTCTTGCAGCCTGGTTCCCACAGACCTCAGAAGGTGAGGCACCATTTTGCTGCTAAATTCTACGTGAAGATCAGAGAGAGCCCAGGAAGGGATGAAGCCTCGGGCAGGCGAGCAGTGCAGGACCATTTTGTCCAGTCACTCTCAGACTCAAGCAGATACTCAGATAACATGTCTAATCTTTCAGGACACTGACCATAAGCCAAGTTTCTTACACCCCCCACAATCACCTAAGACCACATCACCACAAGTATTGCAGTCATCAAGAGACACATGAAGTTAATATTATACCCTTTTCACAAACTGCTTCCTGTGTCTGAGGATGCACTCTCTCTCTCTCTCTCTCTCTCTCTCTCTCTCTCTCTCTCTCTCTCTCTCTCTCTCTCTCTCTCTCTCGATTCTCAGAACAGTTTCTGAATGATGCAGCTAGGAGTAAAACTGCTAAGACCTCACAGAAAAAAAGACCTAGACCCACTGAATGAGAAATACATGACCTGCAGTCACTGTACTGTCATTGACTTGGGAAGTACCTGGCTGTCTAACTCCATCTGTTTACTCCAAGAGTTTAAGGATAACCTTTGGAACCAGATGGATGTGCCTAACACCAGCCATGATGTTGCAGGACCCTGGGACTTGGTTATTTTCTCCTAATCTCAAGAAGGAAGGAACTATGAAGAGCATTGTCTGCTGCAGGAGGATCTGAGCAAGCACTAGCTGTAGCTTCCTGAACGGGTGAAGTGGATCCTCGCACGCCCTGGTCAGCAGCCAGGGGAAAGAGGACAGTCAAAGGACCTGCAGGGTCCAGCAGAGGCTTGAAAAGTGTTGGGCATCTGGAGGTGTGGCAGGAGACAGACACAGGGGACAGGCAGATGGCCCACTGCACTCCAAGTCCAGGGAAAGTAGGGCATACTTGGCATAACCTGTACAGGAAGGGTAGAGGTCCTGGAGAAAGTAAGGAGCCCTTAGGGCAACTCTGAGCAGCGACTGTCTCCCTGGGCTCCGGACTTCCGCTCTCTCCAGAGACGTTCCCACACTGTGCCCCGAAACTCACCAGCTAGCAAACTGTGTAGACATTCAGCAACTTGCAATGGTGCAGGGATCCTAGATGACTGCAAAGCCAGGCTCTACCACTGAAAAGCATGGATCTCAGAGCACGCACGAGCTAGGGGCGGGGCCTGGGACTGGGGAGGGGACTGGAGCGTGCGGGGAGGAGTCAAGTTACAACAGTGGGCCTTGAGTTGTGAAGGCAGGCGAGAGTGAAAGGTAAACATGGCACGCGGGGGCGGGCCTGGTTTGGAACTGCCGGAAGCGGGGCGGGGAACCTAGGGCGGGCTCTCTGCAGTCAGAGCATGCCCAGTGTGTAAAGCCAGGTTGCAGCTCTGCGCATCCTCCCTAGATGCTGGCTCCTACACCAGGCTTCTCTGGGCCTGAAACCGGTTCCTAGCCCACCCTAGAATTCAAATCGCATCAGCCTTCTAGTTCCTGCTCACCTCAGCCTCACCACCCCATGTCCCAGTTTAGCCACTGAGAAACAGTCACAGTCTGTCTGCTGGCAGTGTGTGCCCGTGGGGTGGCACTAAGCTCACTAGGAATCCAGGTCACTGCCCAACTGGGGCTGCACCTGCAAGTTGGGCCACAGCTGTCTTTTTGATCTTCGTGGCATTAGCAGCCAGAACCACTCAGTTGCTGTTCAGCTAGTGCGGGTATCCAGCTCTGATGTGACAGAAGTTGAACTTTGTTCACTAGAAAAGCTTTGCTGGAATTCTCCCTCTGTACTTCAGAATGTGGCCTTATTTGGAAATATGTGGAGGTGACACATGAAGATGAGGTAACAAGTTAGGAGGGCCCTAATCTAATAGAACTGATGTCCTTAGGAGCAGAAACCAAGCTACCAGATGCTGGACAGGGGGTGAAAACTACCAGTCTCCTAGACTGTAAACAAATTTCCATTATTTCAAGCCACCCAATCTGTGGGACTTGATTGGAGCCTCATGGTGTCTGACTTGAGGGACCAACGTCCAGGGCATGACATCACCCTGAAGCTTCACAGAGACATACACGTTAAAGATTTCAGGGTCCCATCCCAGATGCAAATGTTCTAAGAACCATACTGTGGTTCTCCTGGGTTTTGTTTATTGACACCTTCCCCTTCCCAGTGTGTAGCTTCCCTGCTTGGATTTGGCCCAAATACTAGTACATATTAACACCTTTAGGAAATGTTGCTCAGAGAAACTCATCAACATTTGTTGTATGATGAAACCCAGTGACTCACAGAGGCTATCATTAACCCTTTCAAGCCTTCCCTCCTCACCTCCAATGTCACCAACTCTGGACATGCTAAGAATAACTACTGAGAGAAGACGAACTAGACTCCTAGGAGCATGAGGTGGTCAAATCAAGCCTCAGAGTCCTTCTGTGATGGCCACTCTCGTCAGTTTGACTGGGATTTGTAATTACCTAGGAGATACACCTCCAGGCCTGTCTTGGAGGGATTTCCAGAGGGTGAACCGAGGACCCTCCCTGAATGTGGGTAGTTCTATCTCTCCAAGATCCGAGGCCCCACGTTGGATGAAAAGGGAACAAAGGAGAACACAAATGGAGAACCAGCATTCAACTCTCTGTCCCCTGATCAGCTGTGCCTGCTGCGGAGCTTCCCTTCCAGGATGGACAGCATCTCTCAGGAATGAGTGAGCTCCTCCCCAGACCTTCCTCCCTTGACTTGTTCTCTTCAGGTATTTGATTACAGTGATGAGCAGAGGAGCCAGCACACCTCCTTGGCACTGCGCTTAGACAGGCACAGGTATTTATGCTCAGGGAAAGAGACACAAAACAGCTTATTCCTGGGTCCTGCTCTTCCTTATTCGTTCCCTGAGATGCTTTAGGAAACTCTGACTTTTGGGGTCCTTAGGTTTATCATCTGTACAATAATTTCATAAGAACTGTATGCTGTGCACATGTAGACAATACTTGCAAATTGTTTAGCAACATACCATTGAGTAAGGATATTATTTGCCAGGTCCCACATAGCCTGACACTGCTATGGCCCAATTAGAACAGGAATCCTAATAGGACTGAAAATATGAAACACCAAGATTAATTCAGAGTTCCTATTGAGATCCCAACAAGTACACTTGGAAGCAGATACCATTGATATAAAAATCTTAGCTTGTCAAACTATCTGCAAAAGTGAAGAGATGACTCAGAGGTTAAGAACACTGGCTACTCTTCCAGAGGACCTGGGTTCAATTCCCAGCACCCACATAACAGCTCACAACTGTCTGTAACGCCAGTCCCAGGGGATCCAATGCCTTCCTCTGGCTTCTCCAGGCACCAGGAACACATGGGGTACAGACCTATGTGTTGGGAAAATACCTATATACGTAAAATAAATAAGTAAGTAAAATCTGGATTACATTTTAATAGAACTTTCTGAATGTGGCCAGTCAGGCTTTTCATTGCTGTTACAAGTGTCTGAGAAAAATGAAGGGAAGAGCTACTGTTTCTGGCTCACAGTTTCAGGCCACTGAAGGCTGGCCTTGTTTCTAGGCTGTGAAGAGGTGAGAGAATGTGACAAGGTCAGAGCCAACAGCTCACTTCAGGTTGGACAGGAAGGGAAGAGAGGAAAAAGGCAGAGGACAAGAGACATTTTTCTGGGGCACACTCCCATTGAACCTACTTCTCACATCCAGGACTTTCCTCTTACGCATTTTTACCACCTCTCAGCGATGCCATCACATCATGAATTCAGCGCAAGAGTGATGATGGACAAAGAGCTCATGGACAAAGGTGCTTGCCTCCAAACCTCGCGATCTGAGTCCAGTTCTCAGGACCGACACGGAGGAGGGAGAAAACCAACTCTTGCAGATTGTCCTCTGATGTCCACACATGTGGAGTAGTACACGCACACGCATACGCACATGCACACACACACAGGATTAAATGAATCTATCAAGAGATCACTCCTTGCTGGGTGGTGGTGGCGCACGCCTTTAATCCCAGCACTCGGGAGGCAGAGGCAGGCGGATCTCTGTGAGTTCGAGGCCGGGCTGGACCGACAGCCTCCAAAACAATACAGAGAAACCCTGTCTCATAAAAACCCAAGAGAGAGACAGAGAAAGAGAGAGAGAGAGAGAGAGAGAGAGAGAGAGAGAGAGAGAGAGAGAGAGAGAGAGAGAGAGAGAGAGAGATCACTCCATTGATTAGGTCAGAGCCCTCAGAATCCAATAATTTCTCCAAAGCTCATCAGGTGACAGCAACACCCAGTGTATGAGCCTGTGGGGACATTTCATATTCAAACATACCTGAGTGTTGATGGGGAAGGGGAAAAGATGGAATCGAGGCTGGTAGTGACAACTGAATCTCCGCCCTTCCTAATGCAGGATGGAAACGTCTCCATGATGGCAAAGCTACTCAAGTGGATTATATAGGACTGAAAGGGTGAGCCAGAGAAACTGAGAGCAGTGCTGTCACCCAGAGCAGGTTGTAGACCATGCCTGTAACTCTCTGCAGAACTCAGTGCTCCTTGCTGGGAGGATCAGGAATTGAGAGACAAGTGGAAGAAGGCATTGTCCTCTGACTGGGGCTGGGCCTGTGAAAGTGAAAGGTTCTAGTACAACTTCCTGGGTTCTTCCATAAACCAAACTAAAACCCAATCTCTTTGTCCAGGCTGCAGCAAGTATTTCTCCTTTGTGAAATCACTTTTTAAAAACCCAAACTATTCCCAAAACAAGAGCCCTCAGCTTCTCTCTGTTATCCTTTTACCCAGGTGTCCTCACCAACTACCCTTCCTATCACTACAGGAACATAGATTGCTCTAGATGGGATGGTAGCCTGGTGGGAGGGGCAGTGCGGGAGACAAGCTAGGTCAGGACATCTGAGAGCAGGTTTCTTGCCTGATCTCTCACAGACCCCACTTCTAACCCCTCTATAGGAGAAGTCTATCCATTAGCCTGGATGAGTGGGAGTCCTTTGGGGTTTCCCACCTTATTGTTAACAGACAGTCTCTGTTCTCCTCTGACCCTACATCTCAGTGAGTTTGTTTGTTTGTTTTGTTTGTTTTACAGAAGAGTTGAGAAAACCATAAGAAGTTGTGTTTGAGTCTAGCCTGAGTTCTTCGAGGACTCGCTGGGTTTTCTCTAGCTTCAGCCAGCTTTCCTGTGGGCACTGGGAACCATGTCAATTTGCATAGTTCCTTTAAGCATCTAAATGGATACCTTTCAGGTTAAGCAAATGAACTTGACACGGTGGGTGATTGCTTTTAATGATTTGTAACCCACGAAATTTGTTTAATAAGCCTCTCTTCCCAAGCTATTCTGTGACATTAGAGACCATTTACAACAAAGCTGTCTTCAGTAGTCAAGCTTAATCCTTACTACCCTGCCTTTGGGAAATGAAGGGATTTTATAACGATCACATAAAACCTTATGTGATTTGAAAGCCCCGAACTCTGGACAAACGTGCAGTGGTCGTGTAACAAGAAACACGTTAAGAGCTCCCCACTTTACGTGTTTTACATACGGGCAGCTTTTACAGAAGCATCTCCAGTGGTGAGCTCTCGATTAATACAATCGATTTTCTCCATCTTGGTGTTCTTGGAGTCAGAGCCTCTGGCCCTGCTGAAGCCTGGAGCCCAGAGATACTAGACTGGGAAGAAGCCTGAAATGGAGAGAGAACCTTTAGGCCCAGAGTGGGTACCATCTGACTGTGGCTACACCCTTGTCCCATGCTGGTTCCTGTTGGTTCTTGGCACAGCTGCAGGCATCAGGGTATCATTGTAGCAGGAAGTACAGAGAGAGATGGGCAACACGGAGTAAAAGGATGGCTCCTAGGCCCTTTCTGTCCTAAAAAGAGGCAAAAACTATTCTGCTCAGGAGCCCATGGGAGCTTCTGTTGCCATCTGGAAGCACTTCAGTCTTGCTTTTGCTTGGGAAGAGCAAGGGGAAGGCTCTGCCTGTGTGTAAAGGAGGTAGCCCAAAGACTCCCTCAGGACTCTGCTCTTTTGGTGCCCTGGTTGGTGCAAATCTGAGGTACACTTAAGGAGACATGTTGCGGTTCCACAGAGCTCATGGTTGAGTGGTGCATGAACAAGGAAGTTTGTGGGGTCCAAGTGGAGCAGTGGGCATCTCCTTGGAGATATGTGTGCACAGGGGACTGTCACTGTGGCGGGGCTCCTTCTATAAGTGCTTCTATCCAGTCACTGTGTGATCAGCTCTATGCAGTGGGTGTGTTCCTCCAACATATCTC